GCTCCCGCGCGCCGGGCGGACGCCGTCCTCTTCCTCACGCGCGTGCCTCCCTCAGGAGTTCCGCTCCTCGCCATAACCGCCCTTCCCCCGGTACTCTTCCTTTTAAACTCTTCACGGGCCTCCCAGTGTTAAGCGTCGCGCTGCGGTCCCGACCCTTCCCCCGCTGGCTCGGGTGCTGCCCCGGCATTAGCGCCGTCCACCATCAGCTCTCTCTCCTCACAGGTTTTCCTCCCTTCGTGGTCCTTTCTTCCCTCTCCTGCGCCACCCCGCACTGTCCGTGTTAACCTCAGCCCTAGCTTAGCCGCTGTGGGGCCTTTCGCCCCGTCTCGGCCTCACGCACCTTTACTTGTCCCGAGCAAGCATGCTAGCTCATTCGGCTGTCCAGCCTTTCTCCAGCCTTTTGTTACTCTCCTGTTTTTATAACAGCCTTTCGAGCTGTGGCACCCTCCCTCCCACCCCGCGGCATGTTCACCTCATTGGTCTCCAGTGTCTGGTACACAGCCACCTCAGGTTTCCGAATCACTGACGGTCCTCTCCTTGCTCTGGGACACCAGTCCTTGCAGAGGCTTTCTGGCTCCTTCGTCCAGGTTACGCTGCTCCAGACTGCGCACTGCCCAGCAATTTATGAGCTGGTGGATTTACTTCACACCAGATCTTCAATCCTTTTGCACACCAGGTGCTTTACCTCAGTTTCCCCTTTGACCTGCTTTTTTGTTTCCATTTGCTAAACTAGTCCTTTTCAGTATCTTCATCTGTGACTGATCTGCCTTCTCCTCTCTTGACTTCCTTGCTCTTGCTTATATATGTTTTTGTGATGGTTTTATTTTACAAGGGTCAGAACAGTAAGACACAATCAATGATAATTACTCTTGCTCTGTGTACATCTTTGTTAACTACTGTGTTCATCTACAGGTCAGTATAAAAAGTTGTAATGGCTTAACCCACAAAAGTTGTATCAGTATGCGTCTCTGACACTTCTCTACCTTGAATTGTACGTTATGGGTAAAAAATGTGCTTCAGCAGCTGGCGGGGTCATGTTTTTTCATCTAGGCTTTTTGGTTTGAAGTACGCCTACAGTAAAACAGGATGTTTTGCTTTTGTAACCCATCCCTTGTGAATAGCATAAACCTATCTGAAACAATACCAAAACTGTTGATTTTCTGGAAATGCTACAAGGGCATGCTTTTTATTGTTTGATATGATTTAATTTTGATCTGTAATGATTGCTGTTGAATTACTTTAAATTGCAGCATCACATGCCTGGTGGTTCCAGGAGGTCGAGTGGAGTCTAACTTGGCTGAAGTAAAAGACATCAGGGGGAGTCTTACAAAAAGCCCTAAGTGACCTAAGGTTCATAATGTAGAAATTAGGCTGTATATAAGGAACTGGGGTATCACTGCTGCTAACTGCTCAGATTGAGGGTTTCGAGAGCGAAAAGCTCCCTGCTGTAGCCCCATCCAGATGTGCAATAACCCCCCCACCCGCCATCCCACTGCCCCCCCCCGCCAGGCCCTAGGAAACTACAAATCCCATCATGCCACGCGCCACCTTCCTGGG